ATAGAACAACAATAAATAAATGCTCCAAATCCAATTATAAATGCCAATGTTTAAGAAGATGAGGAAAATGCTCAAGTTAATGAGCAAGTGCAACCTCAAGAAGAAACAATATTAAGGAGGTCTACTAGATAGAAAAGTTCGGCTACTTCAAATGAGTATATAGTTTATGCACTTAAGTATGAAAGTGACTTAAGCATTGATAATGATCCAATCTCTTTTGACCAAGCCATGAACGATGAAAATTCTAATAAGTGGTTGATGGCCATGAAGGAGGAGTTGAAAATTATACATGATAACAATGTTTGGGAAATGATGAAATTTCCAAAGGATTCTAAAAGAGTCGACTGTAAGTAGGTCTTTAAGACCAAGAGAGACTCTAGGGGCAATATCGAGAGGTACAAATCCAAACTTGTTGCCAAAGGTTACACTCAAAAGGATGTCATTGACTATAAACATACTTTCTTTCTGATTTCTAGAAATGACTCCTTAAGGATTGTAATAACTTTGATAGCATATTTTGATCTTGAGCTTCACCAAATGGATGTTAAAATAGCCTTTGTCAGTGGAGATTTGGAAAAAGAGGTATATATGGATCAACCTTAAGGTTTTGAGACCACAAGTGAAAGAAATCTGGTATGTAGTTTGAAGAAATCAATATATGGATTAAAACAATGGTACTTGAAGTTTAATGATATTGTATTGTCATATGACTTTGTAGAAATGACCCTTAATCGATACATCTATATGAAGGTTGTGAGAAACAAGTTTATAATCCTTGTGTTGTATGTAGATGATATTCTTCTTGCCGCTAGTGATCGTGGGTTATTGCATGATGTTAAGGGCTACATTTCTAGTATCTTTGGGATGAAGGATATGGGTGAGGCTCCCTATGTGATCGGAATAGAATTACTTCAATATAGATTACAAGGAATTTTGGGATTGTCTCAAAAGGCTTAAATCAATAAAGTTTTAGAAAGATTTAAGATAAAATCATGTACATCTAGTCTAGTTCCCTTTAGAAATGAGACAATTTAAGTCTGTCCCAATGTTCCAAGAATGACATAGAGTGCAAATAAATGTATAATATCCCTTATGCTTCTTTAGTCGGGAGTTTGATGTATGCTCAGACATGTACTAGGTTGGATATAAGCTTTGCAATCGGTATGTTGGGTCGTTATCAATCAAATCCTGGACTGGTTCATTGGAGAGCTGCAAAGAAAGTTTTAAGGTACTTACAAGGCACTAAGGATCACACGCTCACATATAGAAGAACTAATAACCTTGAGGTTGTTGGTTACTCGGACTCGGACTATGCCGGATGTTCGGATACCCAGAAGTCCACATTCGACTTTGTGTTCCTTCTAGCTGATGAAGTTGTCTCATGGAAGAGTGATAAGCAGTCTGTCATTGTTACTTCCACTATGGAGGCTGAATTTGTAGCATGCTTTGAAGCTAAAGTTAAATCATTATGGATGAGCAATTTTGTTGATGGTTTAGGCATTGTTGGTACCATTGCTAAATCGATGAGGATTTAATGTGATAATGAGACAGTTGTATTCTTCCCTAAGAACGATAGATACTCTAAGGGTGCCAAACATATGGATTTAAAGTATCTATCTGTCAAAGAAGATGTGCAAAATCAAAGAGTTCAAATAGTGCACATTTTTACCAATGATATGATTGCATATCTGTTGACTAAAGGACTAGATCCTAAGACATTTATTGGCCATGTTAGTGAAATGAGAGTAGTCGCGAAGTCCTTTTATAGCGGATGATTAGTCATACATGTATGAATATATGTCATGCACATTTATGTTTGTTTGATAATCTAAATATCGATTTTTTTTGGATTTTGCTTATCTATGAATCATATTTTAGTTATGCATATTTTGTTATTATTATAGATGTTGGATCTTATTTTAAGACATTGTCGGATAAGATGTTTTTGGGTGTCTATCTTATTAAATTGTGTTTGTTTGAATTGGATTGACATGTAATACATGAAGGAATAGGGATGTTTGTCAAGCTTGTGACCGCCATGATTCGATCGGTTTAGTTCTTACGAAGTTGTGACTTGTATATTACATTATTTAAGTGTGCTTAAATTATGTTAATATGTTATATACTTGTCATATATGAATCAAGTAAGAGAATGTTAGAAATTTTGATTTCTAATATTAATTCATATAATTTAATTAATTGATAATTGTTGTTGTACACACGGTAATGATTAGCGTAGTATTGAGGAGGCAATTATCGGGTGTAAATCGCTCAGTCCCATAACGTGAAAATATAAGCTTGAGTGGTGTTATGTGTAACTAAAAAGTAGAGGGTCTTTCGGTTATTTTGTGATTTAAAAAACATAGTGGAATCAGTTTTTTAAAAAGCTCACATAGTAAAAAGTTTTTTTTTCAAGGCTTTTTCTTTTTCTCTCTTAAAAGAAAACAAGAACACTCTCTCTGTTTTGAGGTTCTGATTCTTTCATCAAGAATCAAACAAGTCTTGATATCATCACAAGACAAATTGAGGATTATACAATACTGGGATTTGATAAAATTTATTATTTCTTGCTTTTGGGATATTCAACTATCATAATGGAATCATAAAGTAAGTTTTCATTTCTTTTACTGAAATTCTTAATAATTATGCCATGAGCTTGATTTGGTTGATTTAATTACTCTATCAAGATCCTTATGAGTTAATTGCTTCCGCATTCAAGATTAATTGACTTTAACAATTAAGACATATCTTGAATGGATGAATTAAGTTAGGGTAGAATGTATGTATTTTAAGGTTCACTTGAACTATATAAAGGGTTGTAATTGATGCACCATTCGAGATGAGAAGTAACATTAATATAAATGTAATAGGAAAATATTATTTAGTGCTTACAGTGTAGATGAGGTCCGATTCGGTTCGTATGTGCTCGTTTTAGACAAGATCCTCCCGGTAGAATATTATTTATTAGAGTTTATTTTATCGTTTATAGCCGTTATAAAATATTTTATCGTTCAAGTATACTTGAAGTGTTTTGGCGTTATTGTGCAAAAAAAATTGAAATATAAAAAATAGATGTATGAAATAGTAAAAAAAATTCATTCCAAATGCCAACTTCAAAAAGTCCAAATGTGATGGTAATACCAAAATAGGAACAACTTGAAGCATTTTGTTGAGATGTGCATTTGACCTTTGATGAGGTAAGTTCACTTTGAATGGGTTGCTACTTCAATTTGAAAGCCTAGTTTCTTCCTAAATTCTCATGCTCTCTCAGCTTCCTTGAGGTTATCATTTTGCGATTATTGATATCCGAGTCATACCAAAAAGCTCATTCAAAGTGAATGACATGTACCATGCATGTATGTATTCTAAGGTGTAGGTCGCCAACATTAAACCATGCATGTATACATATAATGAATGCATATAATTACTTATTCCTTGATCTTGTTGCACTCTTCAACATTAGTTTGGAAGATGAAACAGTTGTGGCCAACATAGAAGAGACGTGGAATTGGGGCAGCATCCCTTTTCATTGTAATGCCATGAACACTCCATTTTCCTTCAACATTAACTGTTTGAGAATAGGGTAGTTGTAAAGATATGCGTGTCTTCCATTCTTCAGCATCATTTGAAGCACATTTGATGTTTGATGAGGTAAGTCCCATTTTGTTCGAGGATTTCATTCACTTGAATGATGCGATGCGTTGCTACTTCTTTTTCCCTAGACATGTAATGTTCCAATCTTTCTCGGGGTTACTTCTTCTGTCGACCGTTAAACCGGAGTCCTTCGGAGTCGTCACCGACGTAAAAATATATTTAAAAGATCAAAGTCAAGAAAGCCCCTTTGTTTTTGTGTTGTTTTTAATGGAGGAAATGTGATAATGTTGGATTGTTTAGGGGTGAAATGTGTGAATTCTAGATTGATAATTTTATCAAAGTATAGAGTTATCAATGCAACTACAAAACCATGTTTAAAAAACTGGGAGTATGATGCATGTGATAGTGTTTAGGTAAAATTATTATATTCGTCCCTGGACTTCTTTTAAAGCCCAGAATTACCTATATCGTTTAAAAGATGAGATTTTTTTAGGAAAAATATTGAAAAATGCTATTTGAAACATTATTGTTTCAGTCTCAAATAAAGCCATTAAGAATAAGCAGATAGCACAACTTAGGTCCCAAATCATCAATTACTTCTGTCTCACTGCCTGGTAAAGAATGAAGTTTACCAGTTAAACAGAAAGTGGAAGGAAAGAAAACAAATGGGACCAGAGAAGGGGAGAAAGCAGGGTACTAGGGGGTTTGAAACACCTGCAACCATGATTTCCGAGAGCATTCGATCCGATTCAGTATAAAAATAAACATTAAGAACAAAAGTATGTCTAAATTTCCTGTGTAGCTACCTACTTAATGTACTGAGAAACCCACTTAAAACCATCTCCATAACCCATTTTACGAACAATGCTACACATGAATACCTCGAGGGGGCGAACCTTCGAGTCTCCCAAATTGACCTTACCCTTGCCTGTAGTGAAATTGGTCAGGCCAAGGTGATATCGCAGCTCATCTCAGAGGCAGCGTATGGTATATCGATCTTGTTGCCCAAGATGAGGAACGGAACATTAGCTAAAGATTCATCTGAGAGAAGAGCGTCCAACTCCCTTTTTGACTCGGCAAACCTTTCCTTGTCATAAGCATCCACCAGGTAGACAACCGCATCCACCTACAAACAAATTCCGTATCACTTTCGTTATGCTCTGCATTAAAAAGAAAATATTAAATGCTTTCGTAATCAAGTTCTCATTCATAACATTGCACTGGTTATAGCTGAGCCTCTGAAAATTTGCAGGGCCCTTTTAGAACAATACACCCCAGACCCAGACACAAGACAAGACAAGCCAAGGATAAAAGAATCAGAGTATGTATAACTGAAAGACTGAAATAAAAAGAGAAAAATCCATATTCGTTTTCCGGTTGTAATCTTGACAGAGAGCGCAAATATATGGTGTGCGGTGAGGTACTATCAAAGCACCTTTTTCCCGAAATTAAAGGCACCATCAGCGAACTCCCCATTCTTATTCGTTGCCCCTCATGAGTCAGATAATCACAAGAATTATTATCTGAGATTATAAAGGCACATTCGGGGAAAAAAACTATGACAAGAAGCTCCGGCAATCATTGAGATCCTGAAGTTGAAAATAAAAAAAAAGGTAGCATACTAGATGAATACTACAACTAAATTATTGAATCCCCACTCACACATAAAAATTGACCATATTTGATCATAGTTGAACAACGGATTAATGCGTTTAGGACTTATCGCCTAATGTTCAAATCATAAAAGACACAGTTATGTACTAATGGAATCTATTCTCCACAACCTGAATAAATACTTAAAAAAAAGAGCCAAATAGCAACTAAACATTGGATGAGAAAGACATAGTTTTTCTCTAAACATAATCAAATGGATTTCCAGGTAAAAGAAATGCTATGTCACTCGGCCTCGAGTGCGAGTGCTGGACTAGTATCCAACGCAAGTGTTGTTAAATTTATATTTTGAAGGTATCTAGAGATCATATCCTCGTATGCGTCGGACACGGGTACTTCAAATCTGAACAACATAGAGGAAATGTACCTTGGCGTAGTAATCTTTCCAAACTCTTCGAGCAATCTGATGGCCACCCAAATCGAAAGCCTTAAACTTGATTTTCCCAATACTCAATTCCTCCGACGTCGGATGCTGTGTCGGCTGATGCTGAACTAATCTCTGCAAAATCCCATTACCAACATCCATTAAACACCAAATTTCAATCATCTTATTACTGAAGAAAACAATCAACCAATCCGTAACAATTCTTACTCTGGTTTTCCCCCCGGATAAATATCAATTTAAAATCCTTCCATCTAAAAGGGCTAATCTCACCCAAATTTCATCAACAGTAAAAGAGAGAACAAGATGCATACCCTTAATTATCATGAATCAAATTAGATCAGACATATAGAACTATAAAAGAAAACCCAATAATATCAACGCAAATCTAATCCCCCAAAACGGTATATTGATATGGTTTATGAATAATACCTCATCTTTGAGCATATGAAGCAGCGTGGTTTTGCCGGCATTATCAAGCCCTAAAAACAAGATCTTGGCATCCTTTCGCCATAAACCCAGGGAAGCAAGGATCTCATAGAACCAATCGAAGATAAACATGATTTAATTCCTCCAGTAGATGAAAATTTTGAATCTTCAGTATTAACAATCAAATTGCTTGTTTGATGGATGGGGGGTACATAATAGAGGGTGAGTTGATCCTTAAAGGACTAAATCTGGGCCGTCCAAATTATGAAATGAATGGATCTGCTAAAAGTGGCCTGTTATATATAACAAAGGGCTTGATCAAGAGAGAGAGATTATACAAAATTATGGGATCAACGTAAGATTTTATGTTAAGAGATATAAATTTAAAAGTTTTCATAAAAAATTACAAATATAAAATTAAAAAATTAAAAAAATGTGAAATTAAATTATTGATATAAAATATAAAAAAATATATAAACCATATAAGAATTTAAAAGTTTTCAAAAGGTTTAACCATATTCAACATCCTCTATTTATTTCTGGATAAATCTAGGGAGAGAGAGAATAAACATGTTAAACATCTATTATATGATACGAGGGGTATAAAGAAATATGACAATACATCCTCAAATTTATTGTCTCATTTATTAAATTTAGTGCAATGTGCATGAACCAAACTATTTCAATGTTTAAAGAGATGGTTATTATTTCTAGAGGTTTGAGGTTTGAGAACATCATATGATAAGGATATTTGAGCATTCATTATCAAATAATTTGAGAGCCTTTCAAATAGATATCACTTGTATTAATCATTAGATCAATAAAAAAAATTAGCGCAATGTATATTTCCACCAATATAAGTGAATCCAAAGAGGATTTAACAGTCCAAAAATAAGCTTAGTTCTGTTAGAATTGTAGTGCAAGTCTTTCCTGATTCATTAATAGAAGAATTGTAGTTGAGACAATTATTGACAATTTACTCCTTTTCATTTGGATGGAGAGTTATGGTTGGTGATTGTTATGGTCTGCAGGAAATGTGTTGAAAATATTTTGATATTTTGATATTTCGATATAACAAATTAAGTTAAATGAATTTTAAGATTTTCCAAAATGATTTTCTAAGTATATTCGATATAATTATTCGAATATCAAAACATTACTCAAAATATTTCAAAAATCATTTTTAATCCTTACTTAAGTGTAAAATTAAGTTTTAATCTTAAAACAATTTCAAAATAATCTTTCAAAGTATTTCGAACCATTTCAAAGCCAAAAATTCCAGATTGCTCAGAGGGAACCGATTCCCCCCCCAAGGGGGTACCGATTCCCCCCTGAATGGTTTGGCTCCGAGATTTCCAGAATGCTCGGAGGGAACCGATTCCCCCATAGGGGGTACCGATTCCCCCCTGTTCAACGGTCGAAATATTTGAATTTTACACTTAGGGAACCGATTCCCCATAGGGGGTAATGATTCCCCCCCACGCTCCAAACTGTTTTATTAATTGTTTTCACACTAAAACGGCTATATGATCTTCACTAATCATCCCCAACGTTCAGAAGAGATTCAAGGTGTATTTAAACAAGTTCTGAAACCCTTGATCAACAAGAAATCATAGAGAAACAAGAGAGAAAGCATCAAACATCAAGTTTGTGCAAATCAAGCCAATTTTCCTTTCAATATTCATTTTGCTTTCAAGAACACCATTTGTGCTCATTTGTAATTATCTTTGAGTGTTATTTTCTTGTTCTAGAATTGTGCAAACATCTTACCTTGTGAGGTTTTCTTGTAAGTTTGCAAATTTGTAATCTTCTCTTTGGGAAAAAGAGTGTTCTCAAGAGTTGGGGTATACTCTTGAGGGATTTTGTAAGTTATCTCTTTGGCCTCAAAAGAAAGAACAAATTAGTGAATTTGTTGGAAAATCCTTAGTGTGGATAGCTAAGGTAGTGGACGTAGACTTTGTTTGAGAAAGTCGAACCACTGTAAATCGCTGTGCAATTACTTTCAATTTTTCTGCAAAAGCTTCCACGAAATTTTTAATTGCCAATTCACCCCCCTCTTGGTCGATTCCGTCGATCGATTAACTCAACAATTGGCATCAGAGCCTAACTCATTTGAAGGTTTAATCGCCTCTTGAGTCGATTCGGGAAGAGTTATATCGATTATTAAAGTCATCAATGGCTTCCGCTTCAAACTTCGACTCCGGTCTCGATTCGATGCCCGTCAACAAGCCTCATTTCTTCAATGGAGCTAACTATGCCTATTGGAAGAACAGAATGACGTACTTCATTCAAGCAAGTGACATGGGAGCATGGAATGCTGTAGAAGAAGGATACATCAAACCTCTCACTCATCCAAGGTTGTGGAGTGAAGGAGAGACAAGAATGTTCCAGCTCAACTCCAAAGCCATCCATATTATTTTTTGTGCTCTTGGACCAGATGAATACGAAAGAGTTTCATCGTGTACAACCGCCAAAGAAATATGGGACAAGCTTCAAGTCACACATGGAGGTACAGATGAGGTAAAGAAATCAAAAATTAGTATTCTAACGCATAGCTATGAAAATTTCAGGATGAAACCAAATGAAGACATCAAAGCTATGACGGATAGATTTTCAACGATTGTCAATGGTCTCAAATCATATGGAGAGATCATCTCAAATGAAAAGCTTGTGAGGAAGTTAGTCTACTCCCTCCCAAAATCATGGCAATCAAAGAAGACGGCAATCATCGAGTCTAAGGACCTATCGTCCTTAACTCTTGAAGAACTTATCGATTCACTCCTCACTCATGAGATGATGCTTGAAGATGAGGTGGACCTTGATAAAGTTGAAGAGACACCAAAGGAAAAGGAGAATAAGAAAAATATTGGAGTTGCTCTCAAATCCACAAAAGATGAGAGTGATTCTAATAATGATGATGATGACGAGGAAATGGCATTGTTTGCCAAACGGTTCAGAAAAATGATGAAACCTTACCAAGGAAGAAAATTCAAACGAAACGAAGGCCTCAAAAATGAACCAAAAGATAAGGACCCAATCATTTGCTATGAATGCAAAAAGCCGGGGCATGTCAAATATGATTGCCCACAATTGAAGAAAAAGGGTCAATCAAAGAATAAGCACAAGGCTCATGTGGCTACATGGAGCGATGAAGAAAGTTCCGATAAAGAGGAACAAGAAGTAGCAAACTTGTGCTTGATAGCATTCGGGGAAGATTCTAAGGTAACCCCTAACTCATCCGATTTTGATGATTTATCTTATGATGAGTTATTTGAGGAGTACAATGGGTTGGCTTCGGATTATTAGAAATTGTTTTTAAAATATAAAAATGATGTTTCAAAATTGAAAAATGAAAACAAACTCATATCCAAAACCAACAACGATCTTGAAAGTAAAATCAAAGATTTGCAAATCAAACTAGAAGAGTTTGAAAAGAAAAATTTAGATTTGCAAAATTTACTTTCAAAGATCAATGATGATCATCAAAAGAAAATTGATGATCTTAAAACTTCTTTTGATAAAGTTGGAACAAACATTTTGAAAAAGGTGGAAATTCAAAATCCAACTTTGTTAGAAAAAGTTTTAGAAACTACAATCATAAGGTCCCCAAAGAACCTCTAATGGAAAAATCATTAGAAGTATGTGGGTTCCTAAAGAACTCATTACTACTAAAGATAAAAATATCCTACACAAATGGATACCTAAGGGGACTAGGATTTTGGAAACTAATGAATATGGACCCAAAAGAATTTGGGTACCAAAAATCAAATATTAATCTATGTTTGTAGGGAAATGAGCATTGCTACAAGGCACGGGAAACAAATTCAAATTCATGGTACCTTGATAGTGGATGCTCAAGACATATGACCGGAGACAAAAGCCGGTTCATTGAGCTTAACGTCAAAAATGGAGGAGAAGTGACTTTTGGAGACAATTCAAAAGGTCACATTGAAGGTATTGGTACAATAGGTAACACCTCTTCCATACAAATTAAGAATGTTTTATATGTGAATGGATTAAAGCATAATCTATTGAGTATTAGTCAATT